TCAGAAAAAAATCGAATCCAGATATTCCTCCTAATTTAAAACAAGTTGATGACATAAATTTACACTTTAATAGTTTGCCTAATATTGATAAAACTCCTAATCAATTACGTCTATTAGATTGCTACACACAGCAAAAATTTAATTCACAATTTAATTTCAAAAATGTTAATACTCCCACTAGCCAAATGTACTGAACCGTCAAACCTTTCTGATCTCCGACCAATTAGTATTTTACCTACCCTTTCCAAATTCTTCGAGAAAATACTCAAAGATCAAATAACTGAATACGCCCATGAAAAAGAAATAATAAATTCCGCTCAGTCGGGTTTCAGGAGACAACACAGCACTACCACCGCCCTTGCATCCATTACTGATGACTTATTCCATGCAACTGATCAGGGCAAAATTACATGTGTGGTTATGTTGGATTACAGTAAGGCATTTAATACTATTGATCATAAAATATTATGTAATAAGCTTAGCCACTACGGTTTTTCCTTAGAAGCTGTTGCCTTGCTTTCAAACTACCTTAACAATAGAACTCACAAAGTTAAATTAGATCATGAAACATCAAATGCCTTACCTGTAACAAAAGGAATACCTCAAGGAACCTTTTTAGGACCAACTCTTTTCTCCCTATACATAGCGGATTTTCATATTTTCGTTAAAAACTGCTCAGTACACCATTACGCGGACGACACGCAGATCTATTTATCTTGTAATATTTACTCATTGGTTTCTTTTCAATCTAATTTTAATAATGACCTTAAAAGTTTATTTAACATTTCTGCGGCACACAATTTAAAATTGAATCCAAATAAATCTATTACCATTTTATTTGGTCCAACACGCAAAAGAGCTTTACAACAATTGGAAATTAAAATAGGCGATATTCCTCTTTTATTTACCAACGAAGGAAAGAATTTAGGTTTGTGGCTAGATTCTAATTTGCGATTTAGCAAACACGTTAATATGTTATCCCAAAACTGTTACAATGTGTTGAGGTTGATATATCCTAATCGAGATTTGCTCTCCACGAAAATAAAAATAAAACTTTGTGAATCATTAATTTTTTCAAAACTTTTTTATTGCGACACTGTGTATGGCCCAGCATTACTACAATCTGACTCTTTGCGTTTACAAAAAATTCAAAACAGCTGTTTACGGTTTGCTTATGGTATCCGAAAATTCGAACATATTTCACATAAAATGAAGGAGTCAGGTTGGATAACACTGTCTAACTACCGGTCGTTACACTTGCTGGTATTAGTTCACAAAGTTTTAAAATTACGAAAACCGGAATACCTTTTCACAAAATTAACGTCTTTTTCCAATATTAATAACTATCCCACTAGAAACAGAACTACATTAGTAGTACCCATGCATAGTACCACATTATTCGAAAGATCATTCTCGTACGTTGCTAGTAAAAAATATAATGATATAACGGCGGAATATAGATCCTACAGTATTCTTAATTTTAAGAAACGTCTCAAAGAAAACCTTTTAGCTAATCAATCTGCATTATAAAACGAAAACATGAACTGTCAAGAAATAGGTTTATCAAGAGCACTTTCTTTTTCTATGAAAACATCCAAGGTATCTATATATCTATCCGGCTAACAAATAGGTAAAGGTCTAAATAAGTAATCTGCCTGGGGTGTATACGTGTTGATTTGGGTGTAGTGGTGTTGTGTACCTTTCGCATAGCCTTTTCAATGTCTTTAATGCAAATAATGTGAGGCTCAGTGGTCGGTAAGTTTAAGGAACAGTGTATAATCTATCTTTCCAGGTTTATGTATGAAGACTACTTTTACCTCTCCTCGTTTTTTAAGGAACTACCTCAGATCATACGAATATCTGAATAAACCTACTAGGTACGGTGTGAGTTCTTCCAGGCCCCACTAAAAGAGAGATGGATGGATAGATACGATCATGTCAGGTCCTGGCGATTTGAATGGAGAAGAGCTAGATATTAACCATTTAGTTAGGTCATCGTCTATAAGTTTGCCAATCGTTGTATACTTCGCCTGCCCAGTCGGCTACGATTCAGTCAAGAAAGTGTGTTGAGTGCAGTAGTTTGCAGTTTTTATGCTAAGCTATGTCTAGAATTTATGATTAATTGTAAACTAACCTGGGAAAAAACATTGGTTACATAACAGAAAACTGAGTAGTACGTGTTTCGCTCAAATAAATAAGCTATTTCGCATACAGATATTTTTTTTTTAAAGTGTTTCATCCAGAAAAAGTTGCAAGCTCTAATATTTATTGTTATATCGATTTTGACCATTCCATCTTTATTGACTGCAAATTCTGGATGATATACATGATCATTTAATCTGGGCGCAAGAATATTTAACACAATCATTTTCTGGGCTGACTGTGTAACTACTGATGTTTTTACTTTTTAAGTGATTAAATCTCATTAATAAGGGTCGTGAATGGTGTACTAGGATGTAATAACTCAATTACCCTGAAATTAGAAAATAAACGCTACTGTATTTAAATTCGCATATATCTACGTATAAAAACAATTGATGAAAAAAAGAAAACAATTACTATGATAAAAAACCATCATCCAAATTATTCTTCATTTTTCCAATAAAACCATTAAAATGTTGCAACGCTAAAAAGATTTCGACCTTTTAATGGATAAATCGGATAGGTATGACGGACGAGATAAACGTTTTGAATTATAAAATAAAATATATTTATTTTAAGAAACCAATATATTCAACGTATTCGACCTCAAAAATTAAAATTATAAATCTAGTTAGGTTTTCCTTGTTCTTTGATAATCATTGTATGAAACCAAAAATATTACATTTAGTACTTAGCATGATAATTAATATAATGGTTCTTGAAATTGAAAAATAACCTCTTTATCAGAGCATAGTCTCGACAAATCTAAATTAGTCTTCTCGACTTTTAAATTGCAAAAAGAATAGCAATTCAACAATCCCACATTCGACAGACCACGAATTGTCATTGCCAGGAGAGAGACGGAACAATAGAGTTTTGAAAAACATACCATTACAACTTTCAGCCATTGAGATAGAATTATGAGATGTTATGACGATACTAAAAGGGTCCTCACCTTTGCATTAGACATTTACGTCACATG